CTCCCTCTCCTGCTTGCTCTGCCCCGTAGCTCCTGTATTTTAATGCTCCCCAGATGGGATTGACGTTGCCGTGACAGGCGGTGACGCAGGCGAGGTGTCGAGTAACAGGGCCACTGACAGTATACCATCAATCACACTTCCTACCATCCAGCCACTTAAATAACACTTAAATAACGCTGTAACACACCTCACTCGACACTTTGTCTGTTTGGGCTTTATGGTGCCCAGGAATGTTGGTCTTAGAAAGTAATCAGGTGTGTGTGTGTGTGTGTGTGTGTGTGTGTGTGTGTGTGTGTGTGTGTGTGTGTGTGTGTGTGTGTGTGTGTGTGTGTGTGTGTGTTGTGTGTGTGTGTGTGTGTGTGGTGTGTGTGTGTGTGTGTGTGTGTGTGTGTGTGTGTGTGTGTGTGTGGTGTGTGTGTGTGTGTGTGTGTGTGTGTGTGTGTGTGTGTGTGTGTGTGTGTGTGTGTGTGTGTGTGTGTGTGTGTGTGTGGTGTGTGTGTGTGTGTGTGTGTGTGTGTGTGTGTGTGTGTGTGTGTGTGTGTGTGTGTGTGTGTGTGTGTGTGTGTGTGTGGCCCCATGTGCGAATGCAGACGCCAAATCAGGATGGATCTATTTAAACATATACAGTATCCCAGGAGTGGAATGTGTTTCAGATTGCTTGTTATCTTTCATGATGGATGTCTCCTTCTTTAGTCTCATCTTTTATCATCTATTGACTGTCATTTTAACTTGTATCTTGATCAAAGTTCATTATGTGTAATTGTTTTACAAAACTACGTCACAAAAGTTAACAGATGAGTTAATGTAAGTGGATTCACTTTTGCACATGTCTGTTTTTTTTTGACAGTTTAATTGATTGAATCAATTTTATTTGCAATCTTGCATACTTTCCCCCTAGTGTGACATGTTGTTATAAATGGGGTTTCCCCCCCGAAAACAGAGATATTACATTTACTATAAAATCGGACAAATACATCTTCCTATTTCAGAGGCTGTTGGAAATGTTCTGCATTTTGTGTTTGATTGTTTTTGGAAACAATTCTCAATCAGTTATCCAAACTGTTGCTAATGAAGTCTTTGTCAACCGAGTAACCAGTGATGATATTATTTTCGCTCTACAGTAAATGTCCACAGTCTACAGTTGAATATTCACAATTGCCAGCTCTTGCAATCTCACCGAAGCCCAGTAGAGGGACTCTGTCCTCAGAGTCATTTAGAAGATTTCATTCCTCAGAAAGCATCTACTATACATTTCAGCCATCACTCACACACATGCTTATCTGGTCAAGTTAAACAACATGCTCCACTCAACGGGAATATAACAAAAATAACGCCATTTAGTTATTTTATGTTTATCACTTGCGGCTGAGACTAAAAAGAGAGAGGGGAAAGGACTGAAGAGAGGAGTGAGTTCAACTGGCATGTGAAAAACTGAAAGACAATAGAGCCATATATGAAGTCGAGCCGTGGTGTGGGACAAAGTTCCTGTCCGGACAACGTGCGCGCTTAGCCTTAAAACTGACCTTTGAACCTTTGAAAACACAGAATGCCTCAGTTGACATATTTACTGAGCATACTATGCAGTGTATGCTTAGAGACTGTGCACAATGGAAGTGTTTCGGAGCACATTCACTACGTCAACATTGGCTCCAAAAAAATATATTAAGCCCTGCTATGTAGTTTCTCTCTCTGTGTGTGTGTGTGTGTGTGTGTGTGTGTGTGTGTGTGTGTGTGTGTGTGTGTGTGTGTGTGTGTGTGTGTGTGTGTGTGTGTGTGTGTGTGTGTGTGTGTGTGTGTGTGTGTGTGTGTGTGTGTGTGTGTGTGTGTGTGTGTGTGTGTGTGTGTGTGTGTGTGTGTGTGTGTGGTGTGTGTGTGTGTGTGTGTGTGTGTGTGTGTGTGTGTGTGTGTGTGTGTGTGTGTGTGTGTGTGTGTGTGTGTCATGAGCCAGAAATGACTCTATGCTCACTTCCCTGAGAACGGCAGGGAAATAGCAACGCGGGAAAAACGGGGGCAATATTTTGATCTGTGATCTAATTTTAACTTGGTATCGGCTTCAAATAGAATCTTCTCCATAAATATTCATGAATGGAGGGAAGAAATGTGCTGCAGAGGGAAAAGAGAAGGGGAGGGGGTGGCTCTGTGTTCTACCTGACAATCTATTTTTGGCTTCTTCGCTGCCTCTATCGGTATATTCCCCGTGTGTGAGCAGGCTAAATTTAGCTGCAGAGAGGCGGGAGCGTCGTGCAGGAATACAAATAGAAAGAAGTCCCTGGTCAGAGCGTGCAACATCATTAGAGAGGACAAACAAGACAGATAGAGAGAACAGAATGAAGAGTAAAGAGTGGGTGGGGCTCATAGCTACATGTGTACTTGTAGTAAGTGAGATGACATGTGTTCTTACAGATCAGAATCAAACATAATATGTGTGCAGTTGGTACATGCTTGAATCTTACATTTTTCTGTAAAGATGATTGATTGTCCTCACATCTGTGCCACAGGGGGAAACACATTTGTAGGCATGAACCCTGACACAGTGCACAGTTAAGACCTTAAAGAACTCATGTGCTTGTCTCGTGCTTTGCCCTGTTTTACCCTCACCACGCTGCCTGCCCTCCCTTCCTTTGACTCCTCTCCTTGGCTATGTATAGTGCCATCAGTGAGTCTGAATCTGCCACATGAATGGAGAGATGGGGGCTTCTGTTCAGTGTGACGTAATAGCCAGTAACACAGTCTCTTGTCCTCATGAGGATGGAGTGCAAAGAGGAATGGGATGCTTGCATGTTAGAGCACACCCACTATTGAAGCTGCAAGTCTGGATTTTTCAATGGAATCACATTTAAGTATAAATGGTGAAAGTAACGCTAACTGAAATATCTCATCAACTATTAGATGGGTTGGCACAAAGGCATCAGGATATTTTCATTTAGAACCTCCATGAGGTTAACATTTGTGGTTTTGAATTCAATATCTTGGATGGATAGATTGAGATGAAATGTGATGCAGACCTTCACTACGTCTATAAGATGAATGGTAATATGTTGGAGGTCCTTCTCATCACCCTTCATGTTAATTTGTCCAATGCTTGTAGAATAACGACTTTCCCATCAGTTGTTTACTTAGTGTTGAGTGCTAATTAGCACATGTCGAACATGCCACACCAATATGGTGAACGTAGTACCCACTAAACACAAACATTTATATTCTTTTACAGTGTTAGTCAAATGAAATGATGAGTAGCTACAGAGTATTTAGTACTGTGTTATGCAGTACAGGAATCTTTGATGTATTTGGTACTGTGCTGATATTTTTCGGTGTAGTTTCATTATTTCCCACACTATCAACAACAGACATCTCCAGCTAATACTGCTGCAGCCTTAACTACAGTTTTCTGTTTGCCTTGGATTTTAGGGATTTTTATTTTTGAATATCCTTTCCACTGCTGTATTTATTTTGAAAAGATCGAATGTGTTTCTTAGCGTCTTGCCTGTCCAAAATCCTTCACGTTCTGCTAATGGTTGTTTTGCTAAAGCCTAGATTTCTACTCTGGAGTTCCTCAGACTGTTTAGAAAAGGAGACGTGTTGCCAAAGGGAGCTGCAGGTTGACGAAGTCTCTCTGGGTTTGCATATCTGCACAGGGGCTGTGAGAAAATAGAGATGTGGATTATAGCAAGAACGTGCCCAGACTGGGAAAAGACGCCTTGCCGTGACTTTATTTTGTGTTTTTCCCTCATGTCATGTTTTATCAAGAGAAACTTCTCCTCCACCTGAACGCAGAGCTATTTCTAGACTCACATGAACCCACGTCAATACTCTGATGCAAATGTTATACCAGATGTTCCTTTAGCCCTTGCAGGCCTCTTCTGAATGTTCATTAGCATGCATGCTTCACACCTCTAATGAAGTGCATATGATGTTGGCTTTTTTCAGGCCAACCTTCTATAACTGAACTGTCTTTCATGATTTGCGGAAAAAACCCCGAAAGTATCAAATGGAGATATTTTTGCTCCCATTTTTGATGTCATCGACTTGATGTGAATGGCTTTGTTGGTCAGTTATAATGGTTGGCTCAAGAATTGCAAGATTATTATCGTTTGTAGACATCAGAATGAGAAACTATTCTTTATTTTGCTCTCAACACCCCTTGTTGTGGTTCCTGTCTAATTGTGTTTCCTTCAGACACATTTAAATGCAGTGCTGATTATAGTCTACTCTGTCGGATATATCAGTGTGATAACTGCAATCCCACATATTTCACACTGTCACATCCATTGTGCAACCCTCCTAAATTTGTCATTTTCACATCTTATGTTGTGCATTACTAGTCAGTCACACTTCCTTTCTAAAATACACTATTTCCTGTGAAAAAGATCAAAATAGCTGTATGGTGTTACAGAGTGATGAAAGCGTGTTATATTTTTAGATTTGGAGAATTGCATATTATGTTTCTCCCTTTCATCTTTACTGGAGCTGAATCAGACTCTCTTATCTGGAGTCGACTACACAGTCTGTGGTCACAAGTGTAATATTTTAATAGCATAATGAAACCTGTGGTCTCTGGATCAGTCCTTATTGATTTATGTATTTGTCTCACTATTACATCCACATTGGCTGCTACTCTCACTGAAACTAGTTTATTCAATTGTTATATCAGTACTCCAGTTGTTCCTACGTGATACAAACAAAACACAAAACTGTATGTGTTACAGGAATGTCCAGAAGCAGGTTAATACAGGACATTAGCTTCCTTCTGCACACATTCTGTCTTATAATGATGTGTTTAAATCAGTTGTAGGATTAACATGTAATGAGAAAACATTCACTCGCTATTGGTTTTACAATGCCAACACCTTATTCGAGAAGTGGGTGTCAGGACGGATGCATGGATTCTTCTTCTTTCCTTTCCTTTTCATGCTGTGGAATGAATCTGCATGTTTACCCATGAACCGTGTATTGAGTTATCTAACCTGAATACATTCTGTCCCTCTCTCTTGTTGTTTTAGTTTTGATGTGGAGAATGGATTGTCTGTGGGGCGCAGCCCTCTGGACCCCCAGGCCAGCCCCAGCTCCGGTCTGGTCCTACAGGCCAACTTTCCTCACAGCCAGCGACGGGAATCTTTCCTCTACCGCTCCGACTCTGACTTTGACCTTTCACCCAAAGGTCCTTCCAGAAACTCCTCCACTGCCAGTGACCTGTAAGTCTATATTAGTCGTTCCAAAAGTCTACTGTTGATCTGGCACTGCTTCGTCAATGGTACTACACAATACACAATCATTTATACTTATTTTCTTTGTAAGCAAAATGTATTTTTCTTGATTTGTTCAAGATTATAGCCTTTATTTCCACCCCCTACAACCGTGTCTCAAAAGTTCTCGTTCCTACTGTCCAATTCAATACACAAAATGAAGACTGTGCTGCTTTGAGTTACAAAATCAACAAAAGTCAACCATACTGTAAGGTTAATTATATATCATTTAAGAAGAAATGCTTTAGAACCTAAGCATAACTAAATAAACACAGATCTTCAAACATGTTGAGTGCTCCTCTGTCAAAGAGACACTGACCTCCTCTCTAAATTGCAGGCTAGTCAATAGTTGATTGCAGAGAAAGATGACATTTCTCCACCAAAAAAGGGGCAGCTTTGGCCGAGTGGCTTTTGTGAATACCCTTCTGGTTTCCTGTTCTTCTGGATAATGGCACAGTCCAATTATCCAGGCCCCTCCGTTTAGGCAGCTCAGGAGGACGTTAAGCTTTAAGACACTAGTAACAAGAGTTAGGTTAGCGCTTTACAATTAACACCTTTCTAAATTAAACAAAATTGCATGGATTCAATCTGATAATCTGGTAAACAAATAACTGTCTGCATGTATTGTGATGTTGAAAAATAACTGAAAACATACCCTTTAATATGCCCTTTTTCTTTGGCTTCATAGAGAAACCCCAAGGCCAATGCGTTGTACTGCCTAGGTGGCATGCTCTGGTAAATGGGGTCTACCTTAAGTGAACTTCAATTTCGTGTTTCAGTCTTTCAGATTCACTAGGGCAGTTTTCAAACAGGCTGTTTTTTAGGTGTGTGTATTAAATCCACCGATCTACCGCCCAACATTAGTTCTTCCAACTATTTTTCCATCTCAAATGCAAGAAAGAAATGGGCAAAATACAACATGTTGTTGTTACTTTTCCCCTTTTGTGTTTACAATGTATTTCTAAAACCAGTCCCCTACAAAGGTCATAATGTCTGAACACCTTTAAGTCTGTAAGTAGCAGTCGCAGGTCTCCTCATCGACTCTCGCCTATCTGTTTTTGAAGGGAAGAAAGCTTGAAGCACTGGGAAGTCAACTGGTTGTCATCTCGGTGAGAAGAACACGATAACAAAATTGGATAAAAACACTGACTCTCCTCTCCTGCATTCCTTCTAGATTGCTTTATTTCCCACCTCCCACTTGACAAACGTGACTAAATATTAAACACTTCACCTATGATCCCAGTTAAACCCCCCCCCCCCAAAAACACCCAGTTCTCTTTTGTTATTTTTTGCATGTGGCGCTTAATCAGAGACAACCAAGTCTGTTTTTTATTTGCTTGTGAATATTTACCAGTTCCAATTGATATCACCCACCTTTCCTCCCTCCTTAAACTGTTTCCTCACCATCCTAACCATACACAGTGCATGACATTTTAGCTACATTTGACATGAAAGGTGCTTTACAAATCGAATTTATTATTATTATTACATTTTAACAAAATGATGACAAAAAAGAGTGATGAATGAGCATATCCGAGTAAGTACATTTGAATTCTCTGGCTCCCTGGTTGCTTCATATGGAAGTGGTACCAGGTGTAGTTTGGTTTCTATTGAAATCCTCTTTACAACGTTATCAAGCCTTGCTATCTAACACAGACGAATTATCATAATTCAGGAGCTTAAAGACAGTTCCTCTAGTCAGTGTTTCATGCCTTTTCCTCCTGTGTATTCTGTTCTGAATTGCAGACATACAGAAGACATGATTGTCACACCATTTGCACAGGTGAGTCATCCAACCTATCAGGGCTTTTTTTTCATCATATGCCAATTAGAAATATTGCCAGATGGTCAAATGTAAAGACAATCCCGTTCACTTGTTAGCTAAAGACAGCAGGTCTAAAATAAAGTCCAGATGGTATCGAGACCGGGCTTCTCTGCCTCAGAGGAACAGCCCCTCAGCCTTTTGTTGGCCCCGGGACAGGATCAGGCATCCCGCTAGCATTGCATGGCTCTTGCGTGGGATGTGCGTCACACTTATGCTCACTTTAAACTTTTAATAAGCAGTGAATCCAATACTGCTTGATCATGCTGTTTAAATACGCATGTTGGCTGATAAGGGCTGCTACATGGGTCAGGCCTGGATACCGGATACTCTGGCTGAGTCAGTGTTTGGCTCCAGATGGAGTGACAGACATGACATCAAAACATCAGAAATGAAAACGGGGAGCTTTTGTGCAGCACTTTAGCTTCGAGCATGAAAGCATTATCTGATTGCCAAGGCTCGTTCTAGTTCAAGATGAATTAAGTGAAGGCATGTGCAAGTATTTAAGGCTATGGATTAAGTGGCATGTGTGGTTTCATCAGAAATGTATTGTGCGTCACATTATGATGATGATGAGGATGAGGATGATGATGACCTTGTGCATCCAATCTATTCTTCCTATCTTTTAGGTTCTCGCCAGCCTGAGGACTGTCCGAGGTAACTTTGCCGTCATAACCGGCCAGCAAGATCGCACAGCCAGCAAGTAGGTCTTACTTTTTTTTGACTGTCACACAAGTATAAATATAATCATGCTGTAGTTACATTATGAATTTTGCTTGCTCACTTTGGATGGTTTCTGTCTGCAGGACACGATCCTCAGGCAACAATCCACCATCCATGTGCAAGACCAGCCTCGCAGGTCGGTACTGATGTCAGAAATGGGCTGTTTACTTATCAATATCCCATGATCCACACTGAGCCTGGAAAGCCTAAGAAAAACTGAGAGAAGGGCATTAGCATGCTACAATTTGGGTTACTGGTGACACATCACAGAGATAAATGTCACTTAAGTACAAGTTCAAAAAGTGAAGGTATTCACTACACTGGTGGCCCCTGTTTGTGTGCACAAATATTATTATTATTATCATTATTGTTGGAGGATTCGTTTTACTTTTGTACATAAAAGAGGTAACTAGAAATGTGATGAAACACATGGACAAAGTAGAATTCAATTAATACTTAAATAAAATAACTAAAATGTGTACTTAGTAAATGTATACATTATAGTTGCCTTCCACAACTACATAAACATTTATTTAGATTTCTCAATCAACAATAACAGAAAGTTAAACAGTTAAACTACTTTTTGGGAATTTAATGAAAATGTGACTAGTTGTAACTTTCCCATAATTCCTTGCTGTGTTTGTCCTGTACAGAGGAGCCGCACCAGCAGCTGGCCATAGAGACTCTGGATGAGCTGGACTGGTGTCTGGAGCAACTGGAGACACTGAAAACTCGACACTCTGTCAGCGAGATGGCTTCCAATAAGGTACTTCAACAAAATGCGCAAACACACAGTGAGCCCTCAGCGATCCTGAAACAAATCAGAAAGCTCACTTTTGCCTCATTCACACCAACGGTGTTTCAGGGCCGGTTCGGAGCTGGAGCTTGAAAAGCACCGGGTTTTCCTCTTCACACCGCAGCGGAGCAGCCTCTTAGCTCCGGAATCCGGTTCGTTTCAAGCACCAAAAAATTGTCCGGCCAGAGCAAAAGCACCACATACGTCACGCTTACGTCGAGGCGGGGGCAGGGGCAGAGACCATGGCAGAGACAGATCAACTCCTGAACAACAACAAAAAGCCTGCGTTGTATCCAGTTTGTACACAACGATGGAGAAACTTAACAAGAGTTTCAGTGTTTCTGCCATATACTGTATAAAGGTTTCTGCTCATGGTGAAGCAACGTGTCTGCGTGTTAAGGTGGAACCTGAGCATTCACGTTGATCACCTCTCATTATAACTCATTATAAATCTATAAAACTATAAATATTAAACTTTACTTCACGTGTTCATTTGAGAACAGCTGTTACATACCTGGGTGAAGGTTACAGTTCATTTAAATGAAAGATACAACGTTACTCCACACTCATGGTTCAGTCCACCTTAAGAAATAAGACCGACCTAGGAAGCAGTTGTGTTTTAAAAAACCTTTATTGACACGAGTACACTTTTTATAAGAATATAACTAAACCACAGAAATGACTCCGGAAAAGCTGCAGATAGAGCCATAAGAAATGAATGCAACTGATTTCATCCACGCGGTTTGGCTTTATGAAGCAGGCACGCAAACGGTTACGTCATGACGCAAACGATGACGCAACGACGCATTACCAGTCGGACTCTGGGCGGTGTGAAAAGAGCCAGAGCTAAACCGAAGAACTGGTTCTGAACCTGAAAAGCTCTAGCACGGAGCTTGAACCGGAGTTGCGTTGGTGTGAATGAGGTATTTTAGAAAGAAACCATCATGAAAATATGAAGCGCATCTTCCATCCATCAACAAAGTGGAGAGGGGCTGGTTTAGTGAATGAGCGGGTTGGTTTCGTGCATGCAAATAGTGACTAGACACACTCCTCCCCCCACACATCTGCAGACAAATCAACTGAGGCAGGGGGAGCTGAAGATGCAACGGCATCCCCCACATCCGTTCATCCAGGCTTGATAATTCTTCAATTAGACCGCCCAGGCTCTTCATGTTTACACACACACTCCCCATTGTATACATGATACATATACCATTACACGCGCCACATGGTTACGCACCAGCCCATTTCTCCAGATCAGTCAATGAGCAGCTTCTGCATCTCTGACACAAAACAGTTTTCTTTAATACATGACTCCTAAAAAGAGTGAGAACTCTATGGACTTTTCAAATGTTAAATGTTTAAATAGCTCAGTTGAGGCAATACTCATTTAAGTCCATTCAGAATGTTACAACATAGTTAATTAAGTGTAAAGTTGGGTTGCCGATTTTATAAAGAGTAATTGCACCAAGTTAAAAGTTTGTGGTTTTTTTGTGCAGCTTTAGTTTATTTCCACTCATTAACATATCATTTCAATGATGCTTAGGCAGCCTGTTTGGAGCTTATCTTTGTGCCAAAATACTTTGTTTACAATCATATTCATAAGGTCGATTCGGGAACTGTTTTTATTTTTGGCTCCGTGAATGAAATCCCCCACTCCATCCTATCAGAGCTTCTCCTCCATGTCTACTTCAAACTTGGTGCACATGGTGTGTCTCACAACCTCTGCCTCCGTCACACTCAGCCCTGCCCACTGAGTGCATCCCCCCACCAATGAGGTCCTTCCGTCTCTCCCAGCCTCTGCTGCAGCAGCCGTCTGATTGGCCTCTATTCTTAGGCATGTTTGGAAGGAGGCGGAGATTAGAGTACCTCGTTCTGCCTCTGTTTACACACACAGAGGAGCAGGCAGTAACTGAGTGAATGAGGGAGAGTCAGGGGGAGCACAGGCTTCTCTGCCTAGCATCCTCGCATCCCTCAGCATTCCTGCCACTATGCTTCCACTCTCTTCTTCTTCTTCTTCTTCTTCTTCTTCCGTGGACCTCTGAACAGTTTTTTTTTTATTCAATCTGTTCAGCTCGTACTGATCAAAGCTTCCTCTTGTGGACTGCCTGCTAACTTTAGATTTTGCTCAGTCCATCAGTTTAGGAGCACCAAGAGTCCCTTCCCTTAGGAGGACCAGAAAGCTCAGCTCTTTCACTCAGTTTTATTTTTGCTCCCATGATTGACTTTGCGCTGAAATGCCAGAAGAGAGTTATTTCATCACTGTGTCGTGGATGTTCATTCAGGTAAGGGGAAGCGAGGGCGAAAGTGGGCGGGAGGGGACACTGCTCACATGTTGCTCTTTTGAAAAAGTAAAAAACTGGTGGCTGACATGAGACAGTGAACTTTATCTGGGACTTTCAATTAGATTGCATGTTTGGGTGCAGCAGACTACTTGCTTTTTTGTGTGTTTTATGTTTTCATTGGCTTTTGCACTTTGTGACGTGAGAAGAAAAACAACACATGTGAATGCTTCAAAGAAGCATGTTGTTGGTGTAACTATTGCGGTTATATTTATAGATGATTATAGTTGTCAAAGTGACCTCTGGTAATGAGTTCCAGTAAGTTAGGCATTATATCATTTAGACATCTTCTGCCTTCAAACTCAGGGGAATAAAAGTTTGTGAGTTGCTTTGTGGCATGACACAATTTACTTGATCTCTCTATACAGTACATACACCAAACCCTTGGACATAGAGAACAGGATGTAAACCTGATGGCATTCAACAAGTGTTTCTCCTGACTGAAAAAACAGATGGTGCTGATGTTATCTATCCTAATCTGTCCACTTTTGACCAAAAAGTGTGTGATTAATGAATGTTTGTGTGCGTTTGTCCTTAGTTCAAGAGGATGCTGAACCGAGAGCTCACCCAGCTGTCAGAAACCAGCCGTTCAGGGAACCAGGTGTCTGAGTTCATCTCCAGCACCTTCCTCGGTAAGATACCTTTCACTCTGGTCAATGCACTTGCTGCACATAAACATAAGTATCAGATAAATGTGTGATATGGTTAGCGTTTGAAATGTAATAAATAAGAGACTGCTGTGTTAACATTGTGTCTGTCTTTATCTGACAGAGAAGCAACATGACATGGACATCATGTCTCCGCCGGTCAAGGAGAAGGACAAGAAGAAACGGCCCATGTCTCAGATCAGCGGTGTGAAAAAGGCCACCCACAGCCCCAGCCTCGCCCCCTCCACCATCCCTCGCTTTGGGGTCAACTCCAGCCAGGAAGGACTTCTAGCAAAGGTGTGGTCACAAATTACTCTTTCTTTTACTCTCCATTGTACAGTATGTTGTAATGATGTATATCTATGCTTATTGTCCGACAACAGGAACTGGAGGACATAAACAGATGGGGTATCGACATCTTCAAGGTCTCTGAGTATTCTGGGAAACGCCCTCTTACGGTCACCATGTACAGCGTCTTCCAGGTAACTCTTCACTTTCTCAACATTTGCTACGGTGAATTGACGAACAAGACAGTATTTGAATGAATGACCTCACATTTTAGTAAATGATTGAGCTTGACTGTCCTTCTCTCCTGCTGCTGTAGGAGCGTGACCTGCTGAAGTCCTTTAAGATTCCCGCAGACACCTTCATTACCTTCATGATGACTTTGGAGGATCATTACCATGCCGACACGGCCTACCACAACAACATCCATGCTGCAGACGTGGTCCAGTCCACGCACGTCCTACTGTCCACGCCTGCTCTGGAGGTAGGGTTTGTAATTTCACCAAGGGGGGCAGATTCGTACTTCCATTATCATTAACCCAAAACGATAGGACACAAATACATGCACACATGTTGACAGTATTTTCCTTCTTGTCTCATCCAAGGCTGTGTTTACTGATCTGGAGATCCTCGCCGCTCTGTTTGCAAGCGGCATCCATGATGTGGATCACCCTGGAGTTTCCAATCAGTTTCTCATCAACACCAGTGAGTTTGAATAACTCCACAGCTGTTATTTGAAAGTGTGTGAGTGCTGAGTGTAAGGTGTCTGTATACACGTGTCTGTGTAGATTTGTGTTTCCCATTTTGGTGTTTTACTGTGCTGTCTGTAAACGTTTTGTTTTTGCATTCAGACTCTGAGCTGGCCCTGATGTACAATGACTCCTCGGTGCTGGAAAATCACCACCTTGCTGTTGGCTTCAAGCTTCTGCAGGAAGATAACTGTGACATCTTTCAGAACCTGAGCAAAAAGCAGAGGCAGTCGCTGCGCAAAATGGTCATTGATATGGTAAGATTAGCGACATAGTTCTGATCTTTCTCACTTCAGGGATTACACTTTGTTTATTCAAACAATCTTTTTAAATCTGGTTGCTTTATCTACAGGTGCTGGCTACAGATATGTCTAAACACATGAACCTCCTGGCAGACCTGAAAACTATGGTGGAGACCAAGAAAGTCACCAGTCTAGGAGTGCTACTGCTGGATAACTACTCAGACCGCATACAGGTACAACATTATTTTCCTATTATTAATTTTAAGAGCCTCAATATGTTCACATTAGATATGAAATACTGTATTTTGTAGTTTACCTTAGCACTACAGAGCATTGTAGCTTCTTTCAGCTAATTGATTTGTTTTTTACAGCCTCCAACTTTACTGTTTTAGTTCAGTTTAATCCGGTCTCATCCACCATGTTCCCAGCAGGAAAGCTAAAAAACAGACTGTGCACTTCCTACTTAACACAGAACTACTCACTAAGTCACAACTAGCCGTAAAATGTTCAATCTCAGGGCTTGATGGAAACCAAAACAAAACCAAACAGAAACATGTGTGCTGTATATCTGAATAGGCAGATTTTCTTTTTTATTTCACCGTAGGTCCTTCAGAACATGGTGCACTGTGCAGACCTGAGCAACCCCACCAAGCCTCTGGAGCTGTACCGACAGTGGACAGATCGCATTATGGTGGAGTTTTTCACCCAGGGGGACAGGGAGAGAGACAAGGGCATGGAGGTCAGCCCCATGTGTGACAAACACAACGCCTCCATAGAGAAGAACCAGGTACAATATTAGAGCTGAAATATTTAACTCATGAAATCTACTCTAAGTGTTGAATAAAATGTGCAATACGGCTCCTAAGCACTAGGATGGGTCAAATGCAGAATATAAATGTCCCCTCTGTGGGACTAACAAGGGTATATAAAATAAATAACAAATACAATGGTGGAGAGAATTTAGCAAGAAGGGTACTGAAAAAAACACTTTTGTCTCGCTCTTTAGGTGGGTTTCATTGACTACATTGTTCACCCTCTGTGGGAGACGTGGGCCGACCTGGTGCACCCCGACGCTCAGGAGATCCTGGACACACTGGAGGATAACAGAGAGTGGTACCAGAGCATGATCCCCCACAGCCCCTCCCCCCACCCAGAGGGCCCCGAGGAGGGAGCCCTCACCGGGGAAGCCTCAGCGCTCGGTGGGGGCAGCGGCTCTATTTCGGCAGACAAGTTCCAGTTTGAGCTGACCTTGGAAGAGGAGGGAGAGTCTGATGACGAGAGTCTGCCCGAGGAAGAGGAGAGCTACAGCGGCAGTCGGGGGCCCGAACTCTCCAGAAGTGATTCTGGCAGCGGATTAGATTCAATTTCGTCCACGTCTCGCATGCTCACCAAAAAGCTCACCACTGATTCAGTCAGAACGTTTTCATTAGACTCTGATAAAGAAATGACTGAAGAAAGAGAAACAGAGAATGAAGGCGTCTCTGGAGTCCCACGCTTCAGACTTGGGACATAGCACCCGCCAAAAGTAGTATTTCTTTTGGCCTTTTTTGTTTCTTTTATTGATCTCGGTGCCTCTTGACTCCCTTTCTCGCACTCCAACCAACCTGGTTTCTGCGGACAGCATCACAGCAAACCTAGGGTGGGGAGTAAGTGAGTGTGGTGGTTGCGGAAGGTGTTAAAAAAATGCTGCAGTTTTACCCAGCAGTCACTTGCACTGGAGAGAAACAGATGGACATTTTAATAGAGGACAGGAAACCAAGTTTCTGAACTGTCCTCTATGCTCTCAGACGTACTGTGGATGAACTACAGCGAGGATGAGAAGTTTGAAACCTAAAACTTCCCCTTTACCAGCCAACCCAAGGTCTACTACAATAAAGACAGAACTTTTTCTTTGTGAAGAAAGTGAGGAAGTGATGAATGAGCGTGAAAACATATTTTAAGACATCTTGCCAAACTTTACCCTGCCTTCTTAGTTCTTATTTTGTTTGTTTTGTTGTCTTTTATTTAGGTCCATTGAATTGCAGTCACTCCAAAGCAGTGTAGGCAAAGTAATGGCAGACAGGAGCTATGCAGGATTTTATGCAGTCATTTTTAATGTAGCAAACATTTCGAGTGGCGCTATCATTATTATTGTATACGTAGCACTTCTTTCAGCTTGCACAGCCTATTTAATTATGTTCACCAAACAGTAGTGTTGCTATAAATGGCATGCAATGCATAATATGTTATGTACGTTTTTTAGAAGTGTTTCAGGCTCACTATTTCCATTTTTATAAACCTAAACTATGATATTGTCGGTGACAATAATGAACCACGGTCAGCGTAGTGTTATTCAGTCAGGAATTACATCCAGCTATGTGGGATGTGCATGTGGTGCCTCCCAGTGTCGACTTGTGGAATTAAAGTTCTGGCATTGGAGGCAAATGATTAGCAAAGCTATATTCAAAACCCATTGAACTGTAGGACTACCCCAAATATCAGTAATATTTCAGTTTTGTTGCTATTTCAAGTCACTAATTCTTGAGTTCTTAATATTTGGCACCCATTTTTATAGGTTTCCCTTCAAGTTGAGCACTTTACAGTTGGGACTGAGCCAACACATGAACACATTGAAGGCTGTTGACTTCAAAACAGCTTTGGAAGCCTGCCAAGCAACCAGCGGAGACATCATGCAAAAGCTAAACGCTACAGTACATCTACAAACTGCATCAAACTATCCATACAAATCCATCATGGTAACTACAGTCGTGTCACACAGCATCCAAGCACAAGGGTTGCAAAGACGGATGTCAGCATCATTGTAACTGTAGAAAACAAACAAACCAGGATGGCTTTTTTTTCCTCATTGATCAATATTTTGCTCTTCACAGGGACATAGTCAATGACAAACAAGTGCCAAGCAAGCATGACACAACCCGTACTGTAATTTCCATTTTGCCACTGGCTACTTTCCATCCATGACTGATAAAGTTGGTTGATTGTAGCACACTGTGTGCCAATCTGACCCGAGTGTCTCTGTTACAATTGTTTTTAAACTCCAGTTCTAACGGTAACTGAAACTGATATTGTCTTAATACAGTGTTTTGTTTATTGTGTGAGAGTGAATGACTGGGTTGACTTTTTTGATGTATTTGCTAAGAATAAACCAAAGCACTTTGTATGGTACTTTTACAGTTCTGCACTTCCAGTACAGTTTAACATGTATAGTGACTGTTTCACTGTTTTTCTGATGGCTGGTGCTTGAGTTGAATTGCACGGGCTGCACCACTACAGCTCTTAAAGGTCGGATTTCGGAGGGACTGAAGTCGTTTTTTTGTTGTCCTTTTTATAATTGACTGTATGAAAAAGAGGCGTTCTGTTGAAGTGCATGACGTTGGCTGCAGGATGAAGAATATAGAGATCTTACAGAACTTGACCTGTGGAAAAACTCGTTTTATTTTATAACCATAAAACAGAGTGAAAACTATTTGAATGTGTGAACGAGCTGAACGCCTTACCTTCAAACTTGGGATTTTTTTTTCTGGTCATAGATGTGTTAACTGACATGCTGGAGTAAAACATGTGCAATCCTTTCTGTAGCCATAAACATCACCAAACAGACAAACACTCAAGTATGCCTTCAACACTAAGGACTATCTAACAACAGCTCAACCAGCACAACATGCGAGGATTCAGTCTGTCTCTGCATGTCACTAATTGCTTGATTTTGTACATTTTCCTCACAGTGCTTCATGTACAGTTTATTTATTATTTCGGTATTACCTGTCAGAAACGATGGAACGGTAGACTTATTTTAGTCTGAGGTTTAGTACTTATGTGTGAGAAAGTCACACAGGACAGATGTCAACTGTAACTCAGCTTTTTTCCCCCCTTCTCTTTTCATTTATTTATGTCTGCGAATAACATTATACATAAGCAAAAATATTCACTTTCATGTTTTTCTTGGTATATCAATAGTTTAGTGACATATTTCTGAGACATCTCTCATCTCCTGTTTTCCTCTGTTTTCAATGATCTGATCACATATTCATTCACGATCTTACAGTAAGTGTGCTGATCTGAGACTTCTTTGATATATAGTGAAGATAATATAGTCACACGGCCTCAAGTCATCCTAGATCAGTTTTTCTGTTCTTAGAGATTTTATGAATATTGGTCGTGAAGACTTTGCAGCTTTGACAATCCAAACTCTGCTGTTTAACTGTGGGTGTGTTAGCCCTCTCTCCAACTAGAACTGTTTGCCTTGCCAATAAAGGAAAAAACGATTCACTCTTTGATGTCTTTGTCTCTAAATGTTGAGGAAACTAAACCAACCTCCTAAAATGGAAGCAGCTTGCTGATGGTAAGTCATTAGAAAATCGTACTATGCATCAACTGATTGTTCAGTTATGTGGGCTTATGAAATATAATTAATTAAACAACCCCAAGAGATGGCTAAAAGAATATACATTTAACAACTACAATAGTAAAATATTGCATATGATTATGCACCTGTAATAAATATAATACAATAATAGGATATCAGTGGTAACATAACTCCAAACGAGACCGTTCTTCATAATGACTATACTTTTGATAAGGCCTATTTTGCTGATCAAAACAAAAGCTGAAAATTAACTAATGACGGTCAAAAAAGTACTGAAGTTAAGGGCAATTTTGAGGTACTTATACTTTACTTGAGTAGTCTATTTCCAATGTAAGCTATTTCATATTGTACTGCACTACATTGCAGACTTAAATTAATACAAATGTTTCACCAGAAAGAAGTTTATAACGTCATTAACTTCACCTTTACCAACTTTAGCATTGTGAATCAATCATTACAATCCAATAATATAGTAAACAAAATGTAAAACATGCCCCCATCTTCCTCTACTGTACTTGCATTTGTCTATTTTATTATTCTGTTGTATTACAACGTTTACTCCTATCTTCTTCATTCACTTTCAGCCTCAGCTAAATACTGAATCAAACCCCCTCAATAATTTACAAAATGGGTGGAGGCAGGGCTCTGTGTGAATGAACGGATCCTCTTCTCTGATTGGTCAATCCTCGTGCCAATCGTCCTTACACTCTGTACGTAGCCGCTAAGGCCGGGGCTGTCAATCAAGAGGCGCACCGAGCTACTGCAGGTGCATAACTGGGCATTGACTGGACTAGTCGCTGCTGGGAAGTTGAGGATTAAACACACCTTTCACGGTAAACACTGCGTTGTTTTTGTCATTGCAGGGCCGTGTTAAGTCTAATCGTTCCAGTGGATGGTTACACGCTTATTATACCCTGGATTTATACTCAACATTTAGTCGTAAATAAGAAGAGTAACCTTCATTTGACATAGCTGGGATGCTTAGCTAGCTCCTGCTGCCACTTTTAAATACTGGTAACGGTCTGCTGTGTTAGCATTACAGGTAGCGATGCTAGCTTGATTTCATGCGTTTTCACGAGATAACAACTGCATTTGTATCTGTGTTGCTATCATCACTTTCACAACCGTTTAATATTTAATACAGGCGGTAAATAATATATGACAAAACGACGTGTAGTCTAATGTATGTGTTTTTTCTGCAGCTAACGTGAACCAGTGTCAATTTCAGGCTACGTATTCACTAGCAAGCTAACGCTAGATAAGCTCTGGATAATAAGGATGTGTTTAAGGCCGTTTTAATTGAGAGCTTCTTGTGTTTAGAGACGGGCACAGAGCACTACAGACGTATGAGAGTTTGTCGGCGTTTCTTTAATGTAATGCAGGGCAAATTCAGTCCAACCATATGGTCATTCATAATTGGCTGGCTGCAATGCCCTCCTGGATGGGGAGGGATAGTCCGTTTAGCAGCTGATGCTTAGCCTGCTAAGCTCCGGTACTTCCGTCCTCTTATCTTCCGTGGGGCGGAGGTTTGGAGTCCTTGCCCTAGCGGTATTATTGGCATGAAGTGGAAACCCTCCAGCCTGCGTGTAGGTATCGACTGGTAGGCTACTGTTGACACAGGCTCTTGGCGAAACGGCTGCATAATGTTAAGACCTGATAAAGTAATGAGTGTTGCTGAGTGTAACCTGGCCTCACGTAACACGGGTTAAATGAGGCTGTGGTCCACTGCCACTTTGGTCTTTCTGATGAATGATGGAGATCAGCAGTACATCTCTGTTTTCTGTGCATTCGCCTTATGTTATGTAGGTAGTGAATCATTGATGCCTCATATGAGTTGAAAAAGAGATGACTAACAGAAAGAGTTGAGTCAGTCTAGTGAATAAACGCATTTACATCAAAACAGCCAGATTTGTTGTGTTATTTTAATATTTCTTGTTTACATGTGTTTTAGATGTTGGTGGTCTCGTTTTTCTTGATGTCAGTATATCCTTTCAAATTATCTTATGTTTCTTTAATGTCACAATGTTTGTTGTAGATACATTGTTATTTAATATTTTTAGTTTACTTGCTATAAACCAATTTGAACGAATACAGTTTTATACAAAAATCTAATCTGTCACATTTCCTAAACCAAAACAGTAATACTTTATTAAATGGCTGTTCAATTTCTTTATTTAAAAAAAAAAAATCCTTGATCTGCCTTAAACATGAAATGTTTTAGCCAGTGGCTGGAGAATTGTGTATGACATTGTAACAAAAGGGAGTGGACACAATATCAGAAATAAAGTACCTGCACAATCTGATGTGATCAAATACAGCAGCTCTACATTTGTAGATTTATATAATGTCTAGTTTTTCAGACACTGTCAGAGAAGCTTTGATTCAAGCCTGTTAGATGTTGTGATCTATGTCTGTTGTGTTGTCTTTATTGTATTGAATATAATTGATGTTGTTGTTTTAGGCTATTTCCTTTTGAACTCATTAATGTCTGATCTCAATCCTTGCATAGATGGCGTCTGCAAATGCCACATACGGACAGAAGGAGACTTCAGACCAGAACTTTGATTACATGTTTAAAATCCTCATCATTGGCAACAGCAGCGTAGGAAAGACTTCCTTCCTTTTCCGCTATGCAGACGACTCATTCACGCCGGCCTTTGTCAGCACAGTGGGCATCGACTTCAAGGTGAAGACCATCTACAGGAACGACAAGAGGATAAAGCTGCAGATATGGGTGAGGAAGTTAACTGTGAACATTTGATTTGGGGCAGCAAGTGAAACACAGTCTGTCCAATGGTTGCTTTTCAGTGGCTGACACTTACATCTGAACTGCTGAGGTGAACTTACCTTGCTTTGCTTATTGCTACCTGTTGTGTTATCAGTGTTCATTATTCAGTGCCACTGTGCTGTCTACACCTCGGTACCACTGGCACTGAATAAGTAATGGTGTAACAGTGAGAGCTGTGCCTGTGGCCACCATTCATTTGACATTATATACAGTAATTACAGATGGCACTGTGAGTGTTTTGAGTCTTATGTTATTGTCATATTTCTCTTTAATATTCAGTGCCACAGAAACAGTATATTACAAATACACATCCAAAATGTGAATGAAAGCTAAACAAACTTTAAAAAACGTCCTGCACTTCTGCTCTACCTTAATGGTTTCTTTAATGGAAGACTTTATGGGATTCAATACATCCAAAACAATATACTGGAATATAATTACAGATTTCAGCAGCAGTGACATTTCTGATACCCTTCAACGAACAATTGCAGGGTATTATCTACATGATCAATTAACCCACTTCTAACAGCCCAAAACACCAAAGATATTTACTTTACTATGATGGAAATCACTGAAATCAGCAAATCCTCCTATTGGAGAAGCTTCAGTCGTTTTTGACATTTTTGCCTGAAATGAGCTTTTAACCGAAATTAATCATCAGAGAAATTGCAGATACATTTTTTGTCAATCGTCTTATCATGTTGGCACAACACTACAGCACAAACTAGATTTGATCAACAGAATTAGGGCACATTTCCTTGGATTGTCCTGAGTAAGATTGCCTGTTTGTTATCTTGCACCCTCACATCTGTCTGAGACGGTCTCTGTTACCGTACGTCTCTAATGGTTACCAGCTGCCCTCTGCAGTCCTAGAGTCACTTCATCGGCTGTGTAACGCCAATACCCTTGACGTTTTCTTAACTTGAGCCATAAAGCCTGACCCTGGGACCAATTGCTTGTTTCATGGGACACCAGAGGAATACCTAATGCTCATTGGCCTAATGTTAAACCTCAGAGATCATCAGGAGGCACGTGCACGTCATAAATCCCTCGCAGGTGCTGGGTGACGGTCTGAAGACAAGACAACAAAAGCAAACACACTCATGTCTCCAAACGCTTTGGATTTGATTTTACATTGACACTTTTTAGACAACTGCATGAGCAAGTGCATTTTCAACATAATGTTTAACTGATTATCTTTTTGTGTGTTTATTTTTCAGGACACTGCTGGCCAGGAGCGCTACAGGACGATCACCACAGCTTACTACAGGGGAGCCATGGGCTTCATCCTCATGTATGACATCACCAACGAGGAGTCCTTCAACGCCGTTCAAGACTGGTTAGTGACTCCTCTGTGTGCCGTTCTGTGTGTTTAGTAGTCGGGTAACTCAAAAACAAGTCCCTTGTGTATACATACAGATACATTGACAGCTACATAAGTTAAACTAATGTCTGCTTAAATTAGTCAAACTTGAATCAAAAAGTGACTAAGCAGAAAAGATGTTTACACCAGATAGTTTTGTTTACATTTCAACATTGGCCTTTCTTTACCTATCCAAATAATTGGTTTGGATAGGTATGCTAAACTTGAATTATTATAAACCTGTCTGGTGACTTGTGTTTTGCTTCATGTTTTCTCTATTGAAGCTTTACCAGTGGCTTTGCCATTTCCCATATCTCAAACTGAAGTGGTTGACTAAAATGAAGCTGGGGGGTATTTCAATAGTTTAATGTCCATTTAATGGAATTGCGGTGATTAAATCATCTATTGAGATATTATGAGTTTTGTTTTGCTTCAGACTGTCACAAGTGTCTCCGGCCTTTAAGCTCCATTACCCGAGTAGATAGTAAATACAGTTCAGGGGCCTCATTTATAAAGTCTTGCGTAGGATTGCCGTGGGAAGGTTGCTTACAAAGCAAATAAATACGCACCGACACTTGCCGATTCATAAAAGACTGCGTACCGGCACAGGACTTGCGTACGGCACATCCTACGCCGGTTTCCCTTTTTATAAATCACAATCAACTCGAAATGCGGCGCAGCTTTTGCGGGCTTCACGTAACGCCCATATTTGCCTATAAATAGTCAAAGAAACGCCAATTCATTCATTCATTCATTCGGACTGACTTTATGAAGAAGATCCCAGGAAATGACGACAGAACTGCTAAAAAAGACATCTCACACCGTGTCAGATTCTGGTTATTTTGGGAGGTGGAGATCAATCATATTGTTTGGTGGATGCCGTTTGAACCAGAGTAGCAGCATGGAGGTCGGATCGTTACCAAAATAAATAAATAAGTGGTCCGAAAAAGGTTAATGACAAAAAAAAATACACATAGCCTAACCTTCCTCAGACTGTGTGTTTGTACCGGGGACAGGAGACACCCCCTTGATGAGAAACTAAGAAATGATCGGGGAATCCCTCCGGAGTGGAGTCATGACGACTGGATCTGAATTATTGTTTTGTATTTGGTGGTTTGTGTCCCAGCTGTCGATCAGCAACTATATATCCATAATCCACCAGTTAAAGAAAATACAACTAATGTGTTGTGTTATATTAGCTGTACAATTTACCACATATGGTGTTCTTAGTTTCCATACCTCCTGTGTTTTACGACCGACTTATCAAGTAGGCGGCAAACGGCATAAAACACGATTAAACGTGATAGTATATAAACCATGCTCGTATCTATACAACCTATAGAAATGCAAAATGGCGTCAGTTTAAACTAATTCCGTCCTTCTGTTTACCGCATCATTTATGAGAATACATTTCTCAACAAGAGAACAAAATCGAGGGGTGATCAATAACATTTCCGTATTTATTTATTTCTCCCAGTTATGTTTTTGTGTGCACTGAGGAGTCTCAACCAGGCGTTTGTTAAATCATTTTAAGATTGGCTTTAATCAATTTGTGAAAATGAATTCTTCATATATGATAAATGAGAGGTAACATTTTATTTATGGTATTATTTCCACATATTTCTCTCCATTCTTCCTTCTGCCAACGGTGTCGCAGTTTCTCGTCTCTCCCGTTTTCTGTGCTTAGTGCGTACGCATGGGTTAGAGTTTGCGTGGAGGACCGCACATTTCCCGTTCAAGTTTGTTTTTTATAAATCGCAAACATTGCGTAGGAAAACTGGCGTACGCCATCTTTTGAGCGTTACGCACCGTTTATAAATGAGGCCCCAAGGACAGGCTTCTCTCTTATACTGAAGAATAATGCTTAAAATTCACTCAAAAAATACAACAATGTGCAGGATTTTTCTTCATTCAGTCATTCAGCTTTTGGTTGTTCTACCCATATATGCTTACACCGTTTATGGGAATAACCCCAATGTATTTTGATCAACTACTGCCTCAATCTGATGAATGTGTACTTGTATATGTGCATGCATGTAACACAGGGTCAGTGTATAGCTTGAAATATATATATTTTTTATGTCTTACAAAATTCACTTAAAACTTTGTTAATTATGCTTAATATTTTTAAAAAAAAAAATTATATATAATGACAAAATACTCCGTAATGACAGGATTTAAAAAAAGAAATTCCCATGTGTTTATTTCATATAGAATATATTTTAATTAAAGTATCTGAAAGCTTGCTACATTGGGTTTCATATATGTATCCAGAAATGAAATGACTACATCAGGAAAGAAGATAGAATGTCGCTCAGCCCCGAAGTGAACTAAATAGTAAATGAGATGATGATGCTGAGCCCCGCCCCCTTTCTGCTGACAGGTCGACCCAGATCAAGACGTACTCCTGGGACAACGCCCAGGTGCTGCTGGTGGGGAACAAGTGTGATATGGAGGACGAGCGGGTGGTGGCGGCAGAGCGGGGCCGACAGCTGTCGGAACAGCTGGGTGAGTCAGCTGATCGTAGGGAAAACGATATGCCATGTCTCTGTTGCTCCTCTACTGTCCCTCCTCTCCTCTCCTGGGATCATTTATAAACATTTTATATAATCATGACCCCGACAAAGAGGAGGCAGTGATGTATATTTTTAGCATCTAAACATAAATCAAATTCATAATGTTTGTGATATGTCTGGACATGTATGGGATCCTAATAAACTTAGAAGTTGTAGTTTTTAAGGAAATGAACAGTTTAATATCTCTGTGTGATGCCCTTTCCGTAGTCGCCAAACTGTCATGTCATCTTGATTCTATGTAGCCATGTTACATCATTTCACTGTGTTTGGAAGTGATGTTAGATCACTTCAGGCTGAAGTCATTGTAAATCAAAGGTAGCTCTGCCAATGGGCCTTACTCACAGGAATCTAAACTGTCTATTAACCTTTTTAAATATAAGAGATCTAAATATCAGTCTTCATAAAGCAGCCTCTGGGGACGCAAGAGTCAGGTTGCTGCTTGTTTTTGGTCTCATTTCCTACTCTCCCTGTTGGGAGAGCATATTGCTGTGGGGAGTGATGAGCAGGGGTCATAGTATCACAATAACAACATATTTCAGAACACATATGAAAGAGTTTTAATTAGGTGAATAGGTTTAATTTATAAATACTGACACCAATCTGATAACGAGGGGGAGGGATTGAGCTGCCTGTCTCACCGCAGCCTCGGTGTGTCCTCGCGTGAGATAAGTGGATCAACTGGGTAAGCTTCACCTGGGAACATTAAGCGTAACCCACGGCCTCTCTCCGTCTCTGTCCCCCCCGCCCCGCAGGTTTCGAGTACTTTGAAGTGAGCGCGAAAGACAACATTAACGTGAAGCAGACCTTCGAGCGGCTGGTGGACATCATCTGCGAGAGGATGTCCGAGAGTCTGGACAACAACGACCCGTCCGTCACCGGCAACAAGCAGGGCCCGCAGCTCGGGGAGCAGCCGCAGAGGTCCACTCAGGACTGTGCATGCTAAACAAAAACACACACTCTCAAACACACACACACACACTGTCTGCTTTCCTAAAGCCCACAGACATTTTTGGGTTTGTCTCTTACTTTTTCTTTCTCATACACACATATATTACACACAAACACTGCCATAAACAACACAAACAACAAGGTAGATTCTCCACCCCTCTTACTACTCAGAGCATTTCCCCCCAAAGATTTGGCGTTGTCACTAATCTCTTTTTTATTCTTTGTTAGTAATACAGGGGTTATGTGATAGTGCTAATTTAGTCCCAGGGGTGAAGAAAATGTAACGGAGGTACAATCTCAAGTTTTCTTCTTGTTTTGTTGGCACACGTTTACACAAGCATACACCAGACTGTCTCTTAACAGAAATGTAAAAGGCCAGTGAAAGCTGAGACTCCATCATTCCTTTAAAGACATGTCTACAATTGGGTTTCAATATAAAATGCTGATTATCCTCAAATCCCAACGCCCTCAAACCTACTTGGGTATAAATCTGCTGAATTCGTTTTACTCTTAGTCCCATTGGATATATTTGTTTGTTGCTGTGGATAGATTATTTTTTACATTTCTGAGTTGGTTGGGTGTGTTTTTGAGCATGTGAAGTCACTGGTCCTCCCCAGTGTTGTGATTGAGTATTTTCAGGTTATTATAGTCCAAACAGGTCTTACTTTTTTTATTTTAGGAATGAACGTGAGAATAGCAAGACATTCATATCAGTTTGCTTGTGAAGTTGTTTCTATAATTCATTTTTCGGCCCCTTTCCCAGATCCCAAACATTTTTTAAATTCTTTTTTAGCAAAACTGGATGTCAGTTGTTTCGTTGGTGTCGGCGTCCGGAGCTGCAAAGCATTGATTTTAGATGGTCTTTTTTTGTTTTTAACTTTTTTATGTACTATTTTTTTTAAGACATACAACATAATTAAAAGGTAAAGGATGTCTCTCAAAATGTAAAAGAGTGTATAAATGTTTTAAAGTCAATAGTTGTGCATTTTGAAATGCATTCATAATATATATAAATGTATAAAAAACAAATGATACAGTAATAATGTTTGAGGATATTGGATTCCTACCTGTGCTTTAGTGGGAAATTCATGTTGTTGATGTTTTTTAACCGACTGGTTGACCGGATGGTTCTTTGAGCTGCTGTCTGAATTTCAAAGCTGCCGTCCTACAGTTTGAACAGTTGGTTAGCTAATGGAGGCTAAAGCTTTCACATGTTAAGCCCACGCCCCCTTCTCATGTATTAACTTTCATCCACTGCATTCAATGTGCTCACTAGAAAGGCATGTGATCCAGTGCGGACCTCCACATCAACGCAGATTGTCTCTTGTGTTACGGTGGATCATATTTGTATCTTGTCGTTATGGGGAACATGATGTTTTACGCATGGTAAATGTCAGATTGTGAGCTTTATTTCCCTTTAAGGTTAGGGATGTGTCTGCTTGTGTATACAGTACAGAAACAGTAAGGCATGCAAAAACACCTGTAAGTTATTTCAAAATAAAACATATTTATTTTGTATTATTTATAACTTTAAATTTGCTTTAAAGATAATCTTCTTCCTAGATGATGCAGTGCGATCTGCACTCTGCTTTTTAAAGTGATGTTCAACAGTATTCACTTGCTTAAACTGAGCTTTGAAGGGAAAATGTATTTGTGTTTACAGTGAATATTAAGCTTAAGATGATTCCTCAAGGGGAAGTTTAAAACATTCCAGTGAGAAACTTTTATCATGTCCGCACAGCTTTGTAGGGAAGTTTGTTTTTCTTTTGATATCAGTTATGTTATTTTTAAGACTTGGAAGTGTAAAAGGGGGCTGTTCTTCTCACAGATCATTAGCAGTTATTTCTCTCTACACATACAAATAAACAACGTGAACCCTGCTGAAGGGTTTTGTAATGCACTTACTGTACGTCGGTTGTGCGAATGTACTGTTTTATGAAGGAGGTCTTATTAACTGTTATTTCCAAAGAGATCTCGGACAAGGCATATTGGAGCCCAAACAAAGCGCTGTGTTAGACAATGTGCAGTAGCTTCAACAGGGGGAAAATGTTTGTAGCTACAACTGAATACTCTGAACACTTCGTTAAAACAGTGATTCTTACTGCATTGTTCACTTTTGAATTGTTTGTTGATTTTTTTTGTTACTTTATTATTGTGTTTTGCTACAGCTGTAAACTTTCTGGTGACTTAGAAAAAAGACATGGATCATGTTCAACTCTCTCTTCATCCTCCCTCTCTACCATCTTGTTAAATAGAAATGTTCTTTTCCGTCGGGTATAGTTGTGTGAATTTGTGCTGTAATTCTGTAATGCCAGATTTGCCTAAAATGAGGAAATCAAATAAACCAATTCTAAAAGCTGGAGGTTGTGTCGGTTCTACTTTTATTCCCAAAAGGGAGGGATTTACAAGAAGTGCACATGTGATGTTTCAGAAATGGTTTTTAGAATAATTGTGCCCAGCAGAGGGCATAATAATACTGCATTAATGTTTTTATTTTCTACCCTCAGTAGTTTGACCATCTATGGTTTGGTTCAGCTTCTCTACTGCACAACTGAATGAGAGAAGACTCATGTTAAAGGTAAGAATTTATATTTAGTCTTTCAAATGCTCCTTCCAGCTTTATAAAGCAGGCTCCTGTCTTAAGAAACAAAACACATACGTTTTAGTAATGTAGTGAATTTAATAAATGTCAGGTAGAGACTTGAATGTCCTTTACACATGTATAGATAGGGTTTCTCAGCACGTTACACATACATTCATGGACGTTTTGGCGCCTGAAGGAAACTACACAGCAGCCACCAAAATAGAAAATACAATGGGGTACTGTTACACAAGAGCAACAAGGACATGCAGTGTTCCTTTTTGCAAAAAATAATAAACAAAGTAAGACCATATGTAAAATAAGAAACGTTTCAGTAAATAAAATTATATATTTGTCATTGCTAAGTGCTTGTAAACAAGTAAGGCATTATATTACACAGTGGGTGCCAGCACTTGGTGACACCCTGGTGTTTGTTGCACTCTAGTAGAGATTGTCCAGCTTACTAAACAACACCCTATTCTGCACCAGTCCCCTGGATAGCACTTTGCTACATGGCTTCCCAAAAAACATTAGGGCAACAAAATAGTCTGTTTGGCAGTAAAACACTGCCAGATTCAGGCTGCAGCCATGCTGCTGGTCATTATTCCAGTAGACTTTCAGCTCCCATCAAGGCCAGTTCATTCACTGTGCCAGTGCAAATGCCTGTTTTGATTCTCATTAACAGGCTTTATCTGGAGGGTGCATTTACAATGGCCTCATATCAAGTCTTTGATAAGTATTCTGTGTTACAAAGGCAAAGTTCCTCATAATTCATGCCTGTATTCTTCCCTCAGAGCATATTAGAGCTGCATAAACAGGGGGCTTTAGTAAGCTTGGACCTGGTTTGGTAAAAGCTGGCACCACTGCTGACATGGTTCATCACCTTCTGCTTCAGCTGAGGCCACTTGATCCCTGAGGACGCTGGCTGTGGATGCCAGCTCGGTGTTTTGCGTTTTCAGGTTCTTGACCTTGTCCTCCCAGCCGAGAAATCCTCTCCAGTTTTCTCTTGCGGCACTTGGAGGCGGCTACCCCTGTTCCTTAGCTTTTTCCTCCTCCGCCTTGATTGCGGCTCCTGGTTGTCCATGTCGATGGGAGACAGAGGGGGGCTGTCCCCGAAGCTCTGCATGTCTGGCACAGTCTGCGGCTCGTCCTTCACCAGCCCGGCGGACTGGAGTCGGGGACAGCGCAGCCGCGGCCTGCTGCTGCTGCTGCTGTTGCTGTTGCTGCTGCTGCTGCTGCTGCTGCTGCACGCTGGCCAGATGAGACGGGGGCAACGGGAAGGGAATGGTGTCCCGTGGAGTAGTTGATGGTGGTTCCGAGCGGACTGGACGCAATAGCCGTTCAAAGTAGTGTAAACAGGGAGGTCTGAAGTCTGAAGCCCGCTCCCCATTGAGTTGGCGGCTCCGAGGAGCTCCAGTCTGTCCACGCAGCCAGCCTCGCTCAGCTGGTTCTGCTTGTGGAGATCCTCCAGCGCCTTCACGAAACCCTCCGCGAACTCCTGCTCGTCACTGGCCGACTTCGGGTAGAGGAACTGGGAGGACGGGTTGACGGTGGTGACCAGACCGTTGGACTGGATGATAAGGCGCTCCAGGTCCGGGGTGGTTAGTTTCAACAGTCCCAAGTCTGGAGAGTTTAAGGAGTCCGTCAGTGTCCCGGAGAGGGTTGGATTTGGTGGTCGTCAGGTTTAGATTAATGTCCTTCTTCATCATCGTGCTGTGGGAATAGATTGCTGGGGACCCTCGGAGTGTTCACGGAGCCTGGGTAGAAGGTTTGTTTCCATCTACACCCTCACACGAGGGAGTGCTGAGCGTTACGCATTAACGATTGTTCAGCAATCATATCCAAACATGAGGAAATCAGCTGATCCTTATTGTCGTGCGATCCTGTTTCCTTGTCCACTTGTATCAGTCTCTTCTATCAGTAGACTCCTTGAGCTCTCGTGCCTGAGGGTCTGTGATGTGTCTCTATACAGCGCGCGGGTGATATTGTCTTTTCCCGATGGCACGACTGCTATGCGCAGCGCCAGACCTCGCTCGCTTTCTAGCCCTAAAAATTCCATTATGTCACTCCAGAGCGCGCAGATTGGCCCAAAATGACGTTGGTTTCCGGTTTAATTTGAATAAGGGGCAGAGCCTGTCTTTATTGCCATGGAGACTCTGGGTAAACTACAAACAGTGCAATGCATTGTGGTTTGATGTCATAGCATAAAAAAGCTCAGGGTCGCCAAAAAAGAGCAGAGACTGGGCGGGGAAGGTGTAAGAGGCGAGGGCCAAGGAAAGAACAGAGGAACAGGACAGGCAGGGTAACTCACTTTAAAAAGACTTAAAGAGTGGAATAAAGTCAGCTTTAGAAAGTGGATCTGACTCGACCTAAGTCTTAACATACAAATCAAGTGTAATCTTGTACTCTTCCACAAACTATAGTCTCTAGGATTTATTTAGTCTTAAAGTAGGCTACGTGTTCAAGTTCAAACTGATCTCATGTTTTATTACAAAATCATCAGATTTCTACACAAACCATGCCAACTCCTCTTGTTCCAACTCTGTGAGATCAATGGTCAGATTCAGCCCCCACACACGACCAACAGAGTGAAATGAAATGAGCCGTGTCTCTATAAGTGCTCTGAAAGTGTTTCTGGGGAAACTGCGTAGAAAAAGGGAAGGAAACAGTGACAGTAGAATGAGGAAACCATGCTGTCTGTGATTTTAAATTTGAAAAGGTTGAAGGTTTAATGGCTGTTGCTGAATTCAGTCTCTTTATTTATCCATTTTGTAATCGATTTCCTCCTAAACAAATTGAACTAATCATAACAACGCAACACAAAGCTGTGAAACCTCAGGCATCGCCACATATAAATTACCTTTTAAAATCATTCTAATTATTAAAACAAATACATTATTACAGAACAGATTAAACATACAGTAACAAAATAAAAGAGAACACAATATTACAGAACACAATATATTGGAGCCTTGTAGAATACAAAATATATAAATAGAATAAATATTATAGAACAGAAAATAATAGGATTGTGTAGACGATTATAGAATACAATAAAGAATCAAGTAGAAATAATAGAATATATTAAAACATTAGAGAATATAGCATTGTAAATAGATTAGAATACAACATTAGGACAGAAAATAATAGAATACAAAATTATAGAGTAGAAACAAATAAAGCAGAATACAATAGATCATTATGGAATATAAAAAGGCAGAATAGAATATCTAGTGTTTACATCCAGTCCACATTATATAAGGCATTGACTTCCTCAGTAAAATGTTGTTGTTCCGCCCATTCACAGCGAGGACGTCAGCAGACTGTCTGCATCAGCACCACCATGCAGAGAGGGCATCATCAGTTTCCATGGCAACACTAACATAGCCGTGACGCAGGCGAGGCGGAGAGGAAGGTGAATGGGTTGAGGGAGAAGAGGGGGTGTTAGCGACTGCAGTGCACGTTGTGTAGGTGTTCAGAGGAGGTGTTGCAGTGTATGTGTGATGTGCTTCAGAGGCAGACATCAGTGTTGTTCTGTAAACCTTAATGAATGAGAGAAATTAGTTTGAAACATTCAATGCAAAAATAAAAATCTCCACTCTATGAAAACATATTTTCTTCTCTGTGCCAGTGTGGAGCCACACAGGGTGCAGTGTCCAGAATGTGTGACTCATTTCGCAACCCAAGGGTGTGGACGGCACCGAGAATGAAAAGAAATGCTGTTAGGCGATATTAGATTAACTCTGCCTTCATGACAACAAACTGGGAAGAGGGTTTGTCCTCTAAACCCAGGTAATGGAGTGTGTCAGGGGTTGTGTAAGATACAATTTCCCCTCCCTCAGCCAGAGAAGTGTCCTTTGACTTTTAATCCCTCGGGCAGGCACGTTCAGAAACGCCCTGTGTCACTCTGACGCTGTTACACTGCAAACATTCACACCTGGGAGCTGCCCAGTAAAACCTCTGAGCATGTCGCTTCATGAGCAGCTGGTCGGGGTCAAATGTTCATTCATGGGTTGTCTCAACAGCTCTTATTGATGGAGGGGAGGTTGTTTTTCATTCACTTAAACAGACGCTAACCTTTAATCTTTGAATGCAGTGCAGATGCTTGCTTTTCATTTCAGCACACACACATGGCTTGAATTACATTCTATTGCATTAAAAACAGTTGGAGTAAAAGTATCAGTTTTCATCATCTCCTGTCCCCCTTTCCAACACTTTCATGAGCATGAAAAACAAAACAAAGATAATGAGTCCTCTTTTGTTTTTTGTTGTTTTTGGCCTTTTAGTCAAATGCATTATAGGCTGCTGTTGAAGAGTGTATGCCCATACAGCAGGTGGCAGTATGATCCATCCAGATCTGGTTTGTGACTTCCTTTCACCTCTGAGTCAGAAGAAGACGGCAGCAAGCGTTGACAATCCACAATCCTGGGATTCTTGTTTGGGATATTTGATCTCTCATTATCAATCTATGACAGCTCCTGTCCTAACAACCAAGGATAATGGCCAATAAGAAGAAAGTAATAGTAACAGGTAAGAGGCTTTAACTGGTCAGTGTCCAGAGAGATTAAGGTGTCTTAGAGAATTCTTTATTGCCTAGTGCTGTTACAGCTCATTGAATTGTCTCCTTGTGTCTGAGCTGCACTTTAATGGATCTGTTTATATGATAAATATTTTATGGCATTGCAGTGAGTATTGCTGCTGTGATGAGAGAAGGGTTGTGTCTGTTGGTTTACATTAGGAAACAAAGATATGAATTAGGTGAAGGAATGATATTTTTTACA